CACTACCCAAAAGTTTTTAAATGCCTTTAAATGAAATTGGCAAAGCAAACAGGACATACCGTCCATGATACTGGACAGCCCAGCTCTAGCTTTGCTTTCTTTTCAGCTGCTCCAAGCCAAAAACCTGTAATTTGTGCACGTAGGGTGATAACTTTAGGAATACACTCGTTAGGGTTAGGGTAAGGGTTTGGGTTAGGTATAGTGGACTCACTAAAATGAATGAATGTTAATGTCCTAACGAGGGTATAAATACAAGAATGTGTGTGTGTGTGTGTGTGTGTGTGTGTGTGTGTGTGTGTGTGTGTGTGTGTGTGTGTGTGTGTGTGTGTGTGTGTGTGTGTGTGTGTGTGTTAGGGGGTGGACAGAGAACTGTTTGATGGGTGGATAAGGATCCAATCATGGAATGTTCACAATGACTGGATGAGGTTTTTCATGAATTGCATGTTTTATTCATGTTTTGACAAAACATTAAATGTTTTGGTTGCTATCGTGTTGTGAAGAGGACTCCAAGCATTATTGCAAAAACATGTTTTAACCCACCTTTAATTTATTTAAATGAACAATTCAGGGTCATAGAAGTAAAAACAGCTGCAGGGACTTCTGTTCTGTTTACTTGTAGCTCATGTTGCTCACAGGCATGTTGTAAACCCTTTACGTAGTAGTCTGGATAACGCTTCAGTGTTTGCATAATTTGATGGGATTTCACGCTTATATTGTGTCCCTGTTTTCTTTTTAGCTATAATTCCCTGTCATTCAACAGTTGAAGTTGGCTCTGTTGCCACAGCAGTTATATAAAAGCCATACTGTGATTTGTGCATTTACTGTTTTTTACTGGAGCATTCCTCTCTAAAATAAAGTTGACCTGTGTGACTCTCATTTTCTTTAAGGTTGGGGGTTGAAGTGATGCATGCTACAGATGACAGCAACACATTTACAATGTGAAGCTTTCTTTGTCTTTCTGTCACGTCAAACAAACAAAAAAAAAAGTTCTAAGCCAAACTCAACGGGGCCAGAGGTCAAGAAGCGAATAGATGAAACTTTATAAAGTGCCACATAATGTGAGAAGGTTGTGTTTATCCAGACTTTTTGCAGCAGCATCCATCACCAAACTATAAAGAGAAGTTTTTCTGTCAGTGATTATTTCTCCCATCTCTAGTTTACAAGCATTACTGCACTCCACATTCAGTCTGCACACTTCTAAAGGGAATGGGATTCAGAGTGAAGAGATAAGTCATTTTATGCACAGTGAATACAGAAACTTGAGTAAGATGCAACCATTGAGGGTTGTTTTTTTTTCAGTTTTGAAGACAGGCTTATATGTGACTACATCTGTAGTTTAAACAAAAGGCCTCTCCTCCTTTTACTCATTCTCCTCTGCTGCTTTCCTTCATCTCTCACTTATCATTAACAATATCTCACCAATGTCTTCTTCTGTTTTCCTTTTTAGATATTTGAGAGATTTTCACTTGTGCATCATTTATAGTGCCTCAAAGGGTAACTCATTTTCTTTTGATAATAGATACGGTCTTAATGCAAGCAGACTGTGACGATATGAGTAAAAAGAGCTGTTTTGTACATGGTACAGTAGCACTGTTTGTGTCCTTTTACAGAAAGACCAATGTAGCTGAATAGCAGTGTTCCCAGAGGCAATTTCCATCCCATCATGATGTTTTAATCTGAAAACTCACTTAGGAATTTAACTATTAGTCATATTTATACTTCCTTTCTTTACTTCTCTTGTTTTTTTCCTCTCCGTTCATCATGTATTTTGTTTCTTACTATCCATGTCTCTCCCACCCGTCTTTGGTTCTGTTTGTAGCCCTTCAGCAATGCATGCTGCATGTAAAGTTTATGATGTTATCTATTTTCCATGACTTGTGTTGCAGAAATTCTGAAAACTTGGCCATAGTTCTATACCACAATGAATATTTCATTGACCTTCATTGCAGACTGTTCATTTGATTCTGGCATGAATGTGGTTGTATTTTTATTTTATTTTTTTACATTAGAGGAAATGTTCCATGTTTTTTCCTACCGGGATGCAGAGAGTGTTTTTATTTATTTATTTATTTTTGGGTTGCCTGCATGCTGGCTGAATCCTTGGGATATTAAGCATTCTGAAGTTTACAGTCAGTTTGTGGTCCAGGTTACATAGAGGCAGCCGTGCTTCATTCATCACTGATTCCTTCAGAAATGTCTGCCACTGTGCATCCTGTACTCTATGTTAAAATGCTGAGACACTAACAGTGATATATTATTTAAAGAAGGTGCGCACAGAAACATAAAAATACACATAAAAAGTCACAGAATAAAAAAACAGCATAACATTTTTTTAACTGTGTCTGGCTCCAAAATAGTTGAACACTGAGGCAGTTGTTCACATTTAAATGATGTTGTGGGTGAAATAAATTAGATTTTTACTGTGGATCATTCACCGACCGACCGACCGACCGACCGACCTACCTACCGACCTACCGACCTACCTACCTACCTACCTACCTACCTACCTACCTATCTATCTCTCTCTCTCTCTCTCTCTCTCTCTCTCTCTCTCTCTCTCTCTCTCTCTCTCTCTATCTATCTATTCTACCTACTCTACCTACTCTACCTACCTATCTACCCTACCTACCTATCTACTCTACCTACCCTACCTACCTATCTACTCTACCTACCCTACCTATCTACCTACTCTACCTACTCTACCTACTCTACCTACCTATCTACCCTACCTACCCTACCTACCTATCTACTCTACCTACCCTACCTACCGACCTATCATCTATCTATCTATCTAACAATGTTTATAAATGACTTTTCAGGAAGTGTTTATGAATTGCTTTTAAAACAGTGACTGTGAAGGAAACTCTTTGTAGTGCTCTGACCTGCTTTAACCAGATGATACATGTATTTACTCACGCACTTATGATGAAAGTTGATGATTTCATTTTATTCCACTGTGTTGGATTATTTGACGGTTAACTGAACTCGGTCACTACGCTCCAGTTCGAATTTTGAATACAGTCTGGTTCAAACTGGCTGGGTTTGTTTTGTTTCGTTCCACAATCACTTTCTTAGGTGCAAACCTCCAAAGCCTCACTATGTTTTCAGCTAGAATGAGACGTGGCATGCAGTCTCAACTTACACACAGTTTCCCGGTGGCTCTCCGAGCATATCTCCCCTGCAAGGAAATGAGCCAGGGATGGTGCCAGACGTTCCATCCAAGCTGCAGCCAGCCGCCGACCAGATCGAGGATCAAAAACCAACAACTGTAACCTTTTTTTTACCTTTCTTATTTGGGAAAATTATCATTGAGAAATAAATGATAATTTCCAGTAGAGTCCTGTTCCAATATTATAATATATACAATATATCACTTATAAATAATATACACAGTGCTATGTGTGGAGAAAACCAGGCACTGCTTTGTCATTTGTCTAACACAGTCCCCACAGTGAAGCATGGCGGTGGCAGCATCATGTAGTGTGGATGTTTTTCAGCTGCAGAGACAGGATGACTGGTTGCAATTGAAGGAACGATGAATGTGGCCAAGTACAGGTATATCCTGGACAAGGACCTTCTCCAGAGTACTCGGGACCTCAGACTGAGCTGAAGGTTTTACCTTCCAACATGAGAATGACCCTAAGTACACAGCTAAAATAAGAAAGGAGTGGCTTCATGGCAACTCTGTGAATGTTCTTGAATGGCCCAGCCAGAGCCCCGACCTAAACCCAACTGAGCATCTCTGGAGAAACCCAAAAATGGCTGTCCACCAACATTCACCATCCAACCTGACAGAAATGGAGAGGATTTGCAAAGAGGAATAGCAGAGGATCCTCAAGTCCAGGCGTAAGAGACTTGTTGCATCTTTACCAAGAAGACTCATGGCTCTGTTGGCTCAAAAGGGTGCTTCTACTAAATACTGAGCAAAGGGTCTGAATACTGAAGAAGGAAATTACATCACTGCAAAAACTCTTTTGCTCTGTTCACTGGCCATGCACAGGAAAGTCAACAACGGTACCATGTTTCATAAAAATGTCTGAAAATATCTAAACTTTGTTGTCATTAAAATTTGGTGGCATGCTGGCAGTTATTCGCAGAGAGGAAATAATAAAGATGTCACAATAAAAAAGAGAAAGTCATTATTATGAAGGGGTAACAATTTTTACATAGACTCCATTTCCTTTACCCCCAACATTGTGACTCAGGTCAGATGTGTTTTTCAGACTTGAACAATATCCCTTCACTCAAGGTTTAAGCCTCATGTGGGTGGAAATCCATCGCAGTATTAACTTTGATTGAGATAACAGAAATAAACAATCTCATGTTATAAGTCTCAAATATTAAACACGTTAAATATAGAAATTTTTAATATTATTATGAAAGAAGTGTTTTCCTTTCATGAGACTCTTGAACAACAGCTCAGCTGATTGAGCCAATCAGGCAGCAGCCCAGTGGTGTTGTGCTTAGTTTTGCTCTCCCACAGCAAGACATAACTATGTAAACCTTGAGCTCTGGCATTTCAATTTGAATTTTGATACATTTTCAAACAAAAAAGCTAAAGATGTTAAACTTGTCTAAATGTCAAAAGTTTTTTTAGGTCATCCTTTTTTCTGCCAAAGGACAAACATATGACTTTTTGTTCCCTTTTCTTTGATACTTCTGTCTCAAAGTTCTCTCACCAATACCTGTACTGTCTTCATCCTTCATGTTTCACACATCCCCCTCATTCCCTTGTTCTCCACGCTATGTCCCACTCATCACAGCCAGCTGTGGCTGCAGGTGTTTCAGCAAAACAAAAGATGCCGGTGGTTTTCTTTGCAGTCGGAGGGTTCTGCCTTATCCAGTCCTCCGTCTGCTGTCACACCTGCCACAAACCATCAGTCGGTTGCCACACACAAGAACAAACGTCTCCCTCTTTCATTCATGATCCAGTATTAAAATATGAGCTGTACATGTATGTACAAATCAGTAAATAGATCTTTTTTTCTTCCGTTTCCCAGGTAACCGAAACAAGGACAGGCCCTCTCGGCTGCAGTAACTACGACAGCTTGGATTCTGTTAGCTCGGTGCTGGTTCACAGTCCAGAAAATAAGATCCACCTAAAGGGTGAGGCCCAAAAAGCACACACACACACTTACTGACTTGTGTTTCCAATCAAACACACACACTTCCACCACATCCATCCTGCTTGCCCACCTGCTCGCCCTCTCTGTGTGTAGTAGCTGGCTCGGATGACCCTTTACTTTACGCTGCAGTAGGTTATATGTCTGTTTCCGCCTGACTGGCTCTCACTCTCATGGGAAATCTGTTATTTTACCAGGCTGGAGATGGACCACCACAGCCCACGTTGACCTTAGCCCGACCCCACCATCCACACCTGCAGCACAAGCAATGCTCAGGTGGTAATACAGCCTTACTGTTTGATTTTAACTCTCCCCAAATAATTTCAGGTGGAGATTTTTGGTGAAATGAGAAGCTTTGTTTTCTAGAAAAGCAGAGTGTGGGTGTGCTGCATGCAGACACAAGGTCTACTTCTAAGAATAAGGCAAATTGGATTAGAAAATACAAAACATTTTACTTACAGGAGACTTGGATATGTTCTCCATTTGACTCTGGGCAGTTTAAAGGGGATCTAAGCAGTTTTAGCTTTTGGCACCCCCTAGAGTCTATTTTAACACATGGAAGTGAAACTTTTCTCGCCATGTGTTTAGGGTTAGGGTATCCCCAGCTTTCATCAGTTTCAACAGGAGTGGTTCATCTCTACATCAAACAAATCAGCTGTGTTCACGATCTAAAACATGCAGGAAGTGTGCTGGGAGCAGACTCCAGCATAAGGTCCAACAGGGACCAGCCCGGCTACTCTGAAGTTGCAAGTGTAGTATTCTGGCCACAGAGGGTGGTAGGGTCTGAGTGTCATTTCATTAACCCTGTAAAGAGTCATTCAAGTACACACTGGCTCAAGAAAATTATTTAAAAATATGAAAATGTGTCATTATAAGCGTTTAATGAAACACAGTTTTTCTGCAATTTTGCAAGCAAAAAAACACAAAGCAAAGGATGACACCATTGTTTCAGCACTGCAGTGCTGCTTGAGCTTCAACACATTTGAAACTATAAGATTTTAATGTTAGATGAAGCCGGTTTTGCATAAATGATTGAATGCTAGCCAGAAATGCTGACATGAAGCAGCTGAAGCTGAAGGGATGCACAAACAACACGAGCCCCAGATCTCTATTTAGGCCTCCTGTGACAGATTACAGTCTCCTGGCACTTTGTCAAACTGTCACAAAATGTTCAGGGACACAACTTTCTCTTTTTTCACATCATATGAACTTTTACTAATTGGAAAACAATGTCACAGTGTTTTGTAACTCAACACAAGTGGCATTTAGATAAGCCATTTAGGACACTAATCACATTTAGACAACATAGCAGCGTTGTCATGTGTCTTTTTACAGTTTAGTTTTGCTTCACTCCTTGTTTGATTAGGTCTGGACTTAAAAAACAGATCAGTTTAGATTAGGCAAACCAGGGCTGCCCTTATCCTTGTATAATTTATAGTGGTTTGTTTAAAAGCCGGGCATCACAACTGGAAGCACATTAGTTTGAAAGTTCTGAAAGAGGCCTGGGCATTGCACACAGGTTATGCTCCTGATTACACTAAACCAGAGCAGTATATGAAGCCAAAAGCTGCCAGCTTCTTGAAGCAAATACATTTTATTGTCATTTTTCATGCTGAATATTGATTTGAACAAATCTGCCTTTCAGTTGGAAAGGTTTGGTTCTCTCCTGTAGTCAATACATCTGCAGTGATCACCAGTAGGCATGAATATAAATCACTCGTGTGTGTGTGTGGGCGGGGGTGGGGGGGGGGGTTGGGGGGGGTATATACCGTTGCACAGTTTTGTGAAACAGCTGAGCTTGCAGACTGGAGTCGTTTTTCCTAATATTTAGCATCACTCTACCACTGGAGGAGCTTCTGGTGTGTGGTGAAGTTGCTAATGCTAACCGTTGGTTTCTACTTACCGAAAAGCGCTCTGCTGTTTCCTGGACACTAAGCCAACAACAGCATTCACAGTCGTGTGTCAAAATGGGTGAGTCCATGAATGTTAAGTGACAGTGTGACATAGATCTGCCAGGCATTTCAGATCCTAGCGTTTCACCGTCTATTTTCTATCAGAAGCTAATGCAGGAGGTAGGTGTAGGAGAGTGACCGATTATAATCAGAAATAATCATAAAAAATGGGTTTTCAGTGAAACACGCCTCTAAGAGGTGAACATTTATTTATTTGTTGCCTGGATTTCTGTGCAACATTGAGTGAGTCCACCACTAACACTTTTATTAAGGCAAGGCAGCTTTATTTAAAGAGCACATTTCAAACACAGAGGCAATTCAATGTGATGTGCTCCGTTGTCTTAGTTCTTGTTAAGACCCTAGCAGCAGCATTCTGAACAAGCTGCAGTTGCTTCACAGCTTTTTGGAAAGAGCAGTTAGGAGACCATTGCAATAGTCCAGCTGACTAGAAATAAAAGCATGAATGAGTTATTTAAAATTTTAAAAGAAATGTGTTAGTTTGTCAGAGGTACGCTGGCAGTAAGGGCTAAGGACTGATGACTTTTTGGACGGGCTTTTCCTGCATCATTCTAGTTTAATTTTTAATTGAGTCCCATTTACTAATATAGCACACCCCCTGCTGCTTTCATAACAGGGAGCCATAATAGTCAATGATATGAAAGGAGCCTTTTTACACTAATTGCAATTGTGTATGCCAACAGAAGTGAAATGGCATAAATCTGCCACCTACGGAGTCTAAATTTGATGGTGACGGGTGACACATTTTCTATTTTCAAACGTGATACAATGAGTGTTTATCCTTTATTGACTAGGATAAATTAGGTTTGGGTTATTTTGGTTTATTACTGTGGAAGCTGATGGCTCAACAAGTGGAACAGTGATAATATTCATATGTCATTGTCAAATATTAGTAAGACACCCCGATGTTTATCAGTGTCCCTTCGGTTTAACAGCATGACTGTTGTATGAAAGGATTTTTGGCACCGTTTCAAAGGTCCTTTAATAATCAGATGTTTTTCTCAGTGATTTTAACAAGTGAATTTGTCCCTTTTTAATTTAGAGAAAAATGCAGCTCATTATTTCTGAAGCATTTCTCTATTATCAATGATTCAGAAGCTAATTCTACATCTATTACTAATGTTGAAATAATGACTACATCCTTTGTGACTTTGGAGTGACACAGAATATTGAAGGAGACCATTATTTTAAAGCGACGATGTGTATTTTCCTGGGTGATGGTGGAAAGTACTTATCTAAATCATTGCACGCAAGTTATGTTTTTTGTTTGAGTAAGACTTTACCAATGGATGGCCATTAGGGTCAAAAATCACTAGGAGCGCAACTTCCAGCAAAATGACAAGCACATCAGACTTTCTTTCATCACTCACAATGAGTGAAGAGGTAAACGTGTAAAACAACAAAGTTTATGAATGGTGAAAGTTTTGTAACCATTTATCACAAACAAATAAAGGCATTATGTCCTCACGGGCTCCCATAGAAGGAAACATGGCATCTAATTTGGCATTGCCTAGAGACCTGGACTGTTTCTTGATGCCAAGAAATCTTGCCTTGTCCTGGGTCTTCCATTCCCTTCAAGTTGGATGTGCCCAGAAAACCTCACCAGGGAGGTGTCCAGGAGGCATCCTAACCAGATACCCAAGACACCTCAACAAGCTCCTCTCAATGTGGAGGAGCAGCGGGTCTACTCCAAGCCCCTCCCGGCTGACCGAGCTTCTCACCCTATCTCTAAGGGAGAGCCTAGCCACCCTGCGGAGAAAACTAATTTCGGCCGCTTGTATTCGCGATCTCATAAGTCTGTTCAATGTATCCGTTTTCTTTGACCAAGGAAGGATAGTGTCTTCATAAGCAAGGCGCCTGGCTTAGCAAGACATCGCCTTGTAAGGCCAGGTGCCTTGACATTGAGAAACACCCCTAAACCCACTTCCATGTATTTTAGACCCAATATGTTACAAAGCCACCAATATCTTTCAACAACTGGGTATCACTGAATTCATTTTCAACAACATTTCAAAGGATATTTCCAGAGATCAATGGTGAAAACTACACATTGTCATTTTAAAGTCGTCTCCTTCACCTGCACCCTCAAAAAGTAAAGCCAAAGTGAAAACTTTGATTATTATACCTTTATTTTGGTACCATTGCTATGATGTGGTTTGCTTTATTTTGCTGCTGGAACAGCACTTGAGCTCTGAGAACTCCACAAGTTTTTTATTACTCCGATAATCAATGTTCTGTATGAATGAGCTGACAATCACCCAAAGAGCCTTTCTGATGGTGGTAATGTTCCTCGGACTTGGAGAGCCTCATATACGTTTGAGGTCAGAACACTAAGAACAGGTCTTTTACAATCAGAGATTTCTCCACTCTTCCATTTTCCTGCCAAATAAATCAACCTAGTAAACTGAGCTTATTCAAACTCCACCTTTGCTTAAAACAAGCAAACAAACAAACAAAAAACAAGCTGACTTCTGTCACTTTCACTTATTTCATGTTTCCCACCGTGGCAACACTACAGGATAAACAGTTTTCTGCTTGAGACAGCCTGAACAAAAGATTGTTTTTTTTTTGACAAGGCATTTTTAATTGGATCAAATCCAGTTGTGTGTCTTCTGAAAGCTACATCTGTAAAAGGATTTAAAAATTAATTCCCTCACAAGTCAGAGAAAGCTGCGAGATCGATAGGCGGATTGGTGCTGCATCTGCAGTGATGTGGGCGTTGTACTGATTTGTCGCGGTGAAGACAGAGCTGAGCCTGAAGGCAAAACACTCGATTTACCAGTCCATCTACGCTCCTACCCTCACCTATGGTCATGAGCTTTGGGTAGTGACCGATAGAATGAAATTGCGGATAAAAGCGTCCAAAATGAGTTTTCTTCGCAGGGTGGCTGGGCTCTCCCTTAGAGATAGGATGAGAAGCTCGGTCATCTGGGAGGGGCTCAGAGTAGACCCGCTGCTCCTCCACATCGAGAGGAGCTAGTTGAGATGGCTTGGACATCTGGTCAGGATGCCT